AAATTAACCATGGATTCTGCACTCAATGGAGATATATCCTTGGATGAATTCTCATACCAACAGGTATCAATGAATACATTGATCTCTGTGATGAAACTGATAATCAAGGAAGCCAAGTCATCAGACCTCAAATAGGCTTGTGTATCCCCTCACCTTAAATTCAATGTTTCCTCATAAAACTCCAGCAAATATTCTCAGAAAATCTAGCAGACTCATCATCTACTATGGAGAGAGAAAATATTATGGCAGAGATGCCACATTCACAGGACAGCCATATTCCTTTGGCTGAGTTTGGTGTCATCTCTAGTGATGAATTTTCCTTCACTGATGATTCTGAAGATATAAGCAACATGGCTTCACCCCCTTTATCACCAATGAATGCAATGCAAACAATAGGAGATGCCATCATTCTTGATACTGACAACAGTTATGAAGGAAAGTCTATGGAGCATGGCGAAGATAATAATAGGTTCAAAGAATCTCTGGCTCTACAAAATTCTGCAAAGCATGGGGTCATTCCTGATGCCTCCACTGAATATCTTGAAACCTCTGGCCCACTAACAAATGACTTTTTGGCTAATACTGCAGCTGCATGGTCAAATACGTTGGAAACAATGACTGATTACACGAAATCATTTAATGATTATGCTTCCCTTGAGAATGAAAATGACCTCAAATCCCACTCTCTAGATAAAATTTATCTTCCCTTTCATTTCTGCATAAATGTCCAAAAACGTAGATGACATTTCTTCTTGGGAAAAACTCTGCTGATTATATTGTACTGCATGGATATTATAACTGAGGATAGTGATTGTGAACATGTTTCATATAATTGCGTCTTTGAATTAATAAGTAAAGCAAAAAAAGACCTTTATTAAAATGAATATACTCAGATATTCCGAAAGACAAGTACATATCATGTATAACACACCAGAGTTGATGCTTTATATGATCTATCTAAAGCAACACCTTCAGAGATACAAACAAATGAATATGGTAAGCTGTAACTTCTAGAGAGGAGAATAGGAACTTTGATCCTGTTGCCATTGTCTTCCAAGATGCACAAGACTGTAGAGTACCAAGGCTCATAGATCCATAGCTCATTTCCTAACTGATGGATGTCAGAATTTTTCTTCTATTTTTCCTAACAATACATATTTTGGAGAAAATGCAACTAATGTTAATGGTGACAATGCAATTCTCTATGGAAACGCTGACTGAGGAAATAACCACACTCATTTTCTTTTGAGACAGGGAATCACAATGGATACTTTTAATCATGCTATCAAAACACAGTCATGGCTTTCTTAGGAAATACAAAGTCCCTATTGTTTATAAGGTTTTTATGCCCATGGAAGCAAATACTACCACTTCCAATATATCTGCTTTTACTGAAAATGGAGCAGATTTATTATGGTATCTGATTCAAGGCTTAGTGGTTCTCTTTTAGTTCTGATTTTCACTGATTTCTATGAAAATGCAGAGTTTTTAATAAACACAGATATTAATTCCTTTTTTCTGAAAGGTAACTTCCATTAAGCCAAAATGTCTACTCTCTCAATTAGGACAATGGTAATATTGACCAGTCTGTCTTCTATAATCAGAAAGTGTCATCACTCTAAAAATTGTGTGTGTGTGTGTGTGTGTGTGTGTGTGTGTGTGTGTGTGTGTGATTGATTGCTTGAAACTTCCATTCTAATTTCTAATGTACCACTGAAGAAGACATACTCTTAATATTCTAAAAGTTACAAACCTACACCACTCAACAATGTTAAAACAAGCAGCATCAGAGCCCATTTTCAGATCAAATTTATTTAATTGGTAGAAATGTCTCAACAAGGAAAAAAATAATATACATCAAATAATCTTACATGGCTTTTTTTTTTTGGTGTACACTGTTTCCCAAGCTGATGCCACTGGCTCTTCCAACAATGCTGCTGGTGTCAACTTAATATACCTTCCCCCTGCTGACATCAGGGACAACATGTTTGGTACTGATCTTCTAGCAATCTTAAGTCGAAGCCAAAGAAAACTTCTTCAAGTTTTCTATTATTTTAACCTAATGAACATAATGGACAAAAATTCCAGTATAAGATAAGACATGACTAAAGCTTCTACAGTGGAACACACAACTACTGAATGTGGAGTACGTCACTTTATAGATGCAAATGTAATAAAAATGATACAGCAATCTAAATGGAGACAAAACCTCTATAAAAATGTCAGCTTCAGCCCATATCTTGAGAATAAAAATATTATTACTGATGATAAGTTAGTCAGTAAAGATCCTATCCATGCCTCTAAAACTGCTATTAAAACTTGCACATTCTCAAGGATCCCTCTGAACTAGATCTGTTCCTCATGAAACCAACTCCGTGAGAAAATTCACACCTCCTACTAAAGAACCTTCATCTTATCCAAGAGATAACAGAAGAAGATTTTCAGAAGGAATTTAGTATAGCCCATCTTGAAAAAGAAAATACTGAATTTCAAGTGTCAAGGAATAAGAATATCAGTCACAAACTCTTTGCTAAGAAAGAAAATCTATTGACTACAGTGTAGAGGCAGACACATATTAAGATTATATTCATCAGTTACACATAAAGACAATTACTACAAATGTCTACAGTGCTGCAAATGCAATTTTTCTTGTGAACAATGAAACAGTGATTCCTGAGAACAGCACATCCTAAGACACGTGCCCAACATTCCAACCACTGAATGGAAAGATGACAAAACTTAGATGTTAGTCGACAATTCCCCAACTGGGATGGCTTACCTAGTGTCTCCGAAGATGGGAACTGTTTTCTGAGTGAAGAAGATATTGAACACGTAACTCCTCTGATGACTTTATATGAATAATAATCGATTCAGTTAAAATAAGAAATTAAGGTGGGTGGAGTGCCGCATGACTTTAATCCCATCACTTGGGAGGCAGAGGCAGGTGGATTTCTGTGAGTTTAATACTAGTCTGGTCTACATAGTTTCAGAACAGCCATGACTACATAGTGAGAGCCTGTCTTGAGAAAAAGTAACAACTCATTTTTTTTCTTTGCTAACTAAAAAAAAAAATGTGAAGATATATAAACTCTTTCTAAGCATTAATTCTGGTGTCTAGTCAAGATACTGCTTTTTGACTAGTTGGTTCTTTGAAAATTGTACATGCCATATCTCCTGATAGCTCTCAAGATACTCTCTGCACAAATGAAGTCTCAACAATGGACATCATTGTGATGTCAGCCTTTCAAGGTTTCTAAATATGTTATCCCAGAAAATCATAACTGTGCCTTCCTGTGAACTTATTAAGAATATTCCCATTTTTGCTAACAGATTCCATTCACATAAGGATTTTTATCATGAACCCAAAGAAGTTACTTCTTAGAAAAATGAATAATCACTAGGTCAAATACCTCAAAATTCAAGCAAGTAAAAGATACACATGAACCAAGCAAGCTTTTGTTAACAGTTCCAAAATAAGACTTGAGTCCATGCAACCTGAAAACCTTGATAAAAAAAAAAAAGATGAAGTGTGCCAAATAGTAGGATATGAATTCCAACCATGAGGAGGTTGCCATGCATATGAGACAAAATTTATATATGGTAACTGATTCTGTTCTTAAGTTATATCTGTGATTCTAATGATCTATAAAGGAATACAGTTCTTCACACTGTATTCCCTGAAGAAGATAGTCTATTTCAAGACTTAACATACACTACATACTTTGTGAATTTTAATGGATTATATAAAAGATAAAACATTTTTAAAAATGAAAAGCTTGGAAGGTAAGGATAATGATAAAACACTTTCCTTTCAAGAGAAATAAGAGTGCTATAATCAATGTGACTCTCTCACAGCAACACTGGTAATAGAATAGTTGATATGACCACCAAAACAAGGCAGAAAACTAAATGCTGTTTTGAACTCAACATCAATGAAGATAGAATTATCTCTTCATCTGGCATAGCTAGCTGGAGATTACATGCTCATGAAAGAATATTTTCTTCATGGTTCCAGTTCTGCTCAACACACAAATATCCTATCGTATAAGATAGCTAACTTAGAGAATGACTTTATTCTGTGTATTCCTCTATTAATTGATATTTCTGTTTAAAAACAAATAACCTGGACCTATACCCTATCTTACAACTTCTTTGTTTGTGACACTGATGACATTCCCTATATTAACAAAGACACTGGGACCTGGTATGATGATGGGAGCCTACAATCCTCACATTAACGAAGTCAAGGCAGGGGAATTCTGAATTCAAGGATAACCTAGGCTATGGAGATAGACTCTGTCTCAAAAAATCAACAAACAAAACAAGAAAGAAAAAAAAAAAGAACCACTATAAAAATCAGTAGTGACAACCTCCTGAAGCATAAAAACATTTCTGGAGAAACTATTCATTTTTTTTTAATTTGTGCCTTAAAATCTATTCTTGTATGTCTACAAAGACTGGTATCAGATCTATGCCTTCACATAACTAAAAGGAAGCTGTGAGCTCTGTGTTCAGACGAAGAAATGATTTTGTGCCAATCAAACTAATGCTCCTAACTTTTTACACATTTGATGTGTGTGAGTCTGAAAATTCCATTTCCTCTGATTCAGTGGGTAAGAGGCTGGCTTTAAACATTGACACTGAATGTCTTTCTCCTTAATCTAATCAGCTAAACCTTAAAGTCAACTGTACAACTACCACCTGTCATATTATCACTATAAAAATTCCATCTGAAATGGATATCTTCTGGAGCAGCTACTGTTACTTCAACTCTGATTCTTGCTGTTTTATAAATTTAGACACATGACACCAACCTCCTGTCACAAAAGTCTTCTGAGGTTGAAATAACCCTTGGGGAGGACGGAATCCATAAAAAAGTAAGCCTACAACACTTGGCACACTGTTTCTCAAGTTAACTGAAGAAAATACGAAAAGTCTTATCAGTCTATTAATTTTTATTATTATTATTATTATCATCATCATTATTATTATTACTTAAAATGAAATTTCCCTCTCAGAAGAAAAAAAACTGACTGAAGTCTTGCTACATAATTCTCTATTTTTAATTCACTACCAAAAGTGCTTTTGAATTTTAGACATTTAAGCACCATGAATCTCAGAGAAGAATGTGGCTCTGCCTCCCAAAATACACTGCCACTTACTTGTAAAATGGTTGATCTCAAAAAGATGCTGATAGTCATCCAGAGTTTCCACTATTTACACCAAACCACAAAGTACCCAGCAAGCGTGACTATGTCTGTGTCAAGGGGCACCAGCATCACATCAGAAGAAATATACCTAAAACAGAAATATGGTAAATCCTAAGTTCTCTAAAAGTAAAATATTTAGTGTGGATTTCTATTTTGTAGTCAGAGCTCCATCATATTTTCTTCTAATACTAATAGTCATTCCAGTAAATATCTAATCACAGCCAAGAAGCAACCTCCAAGGTGAGCCTTTGTCATAACCTGGGAGGTTGATGTAACAATCCCCATGATGACCAGCGCTTCAGTCACTATACTGATCACTACTTACTTGCCCAGGAATGCCACTAAGCCCAGAGGAAAGACCTGTGAAAGTGCTCAGTGCTCCTGTGCCTCATGGCTGAAGATGGATCACCCAAACTTTATTCTCATCCACCAAGAGAGAGCAGTAAAACACCAACAGAAGCAGCCATCTTCTTTGGGGCTGACAACACCATTCCTAAATCAGAAACAACTATTACCTCTGAAGGAGACCATATTACTCCAGTAAACGACTGCACACCAGATGGTGATTTTTCTACTACAATCAACAAGCTCACACCGACCAAGAAAAAGCTCAAGCTGGAAGATGATATCGAGGCCAATCTGAAGTTAACAACTCTTTCAGAGAAAGAAATTACTCCGACTGAAACTCCAATCTCTGAAAATTTCATCCCGGTGCAACTGGGAAACATCTCATCCCCAGTTGGTACTGTTTCTTTAATAGATTTTTCAAGTAACATGGCAAAAGAAGACATCATCTTGGCCACCATTGACACGGGAGACAAAGAAATCCTACCCACTGCTGAGCTCTCTGGCACACTGCAGGACAGCACTGACAATTCGGAAGACGCCTCTGAACTTCCAGATGAAAACAAAGAAACTGATGGCTATTCCTCAACCAATTCCGATGTTCCTGATGATGGAGCTGTCCAGGTCACTGACTCCTTGAGTCCTGAGGCTGAGATGCCTCCCTCTCCTGAAAAGGAGGTCACCACCCCTCCAGACACAACCAACATTGCAGAAGAGAACACAACTGAAATGGACCTGATTGTTTCAGAGGATACCCCCAAAGCTGCGACTAAATTAACTGACTCAGATGAAGAAAAATTTATCACTGTTTTTGAACTCACTAACTCTGCTGAAAAAGCCAAAGATAACCCAGAAGATGCTTTAACTGATGAGGAATCGACTGATGGAGTTAATGCTTGGATGGAGAAAGAGACTGTGAATGAGGCAGAGAACCATTCTGTTTTGCTTACTACTGTTGAATCCAGGTATGATTGCATTGTCCCTGCCTCAGGAAACAAAAACATCATGGAGGAACCAACCGCTAACACAACAGAAGATCTATCTGAAAATGATACAACAGAATCGGTAACTAAGGACACAGAGGAGTTTCCTTCAGTGACATCTATAGTAGATACCCTTAAACACAAGGAGGACTCTTCTACAGCTGACTCTGCTATCTTCAAATTGCTGAAAGAAGAACCCGATGACCTAATGATGTAGAAGCAGCAACATAAGGGAGGCCATGTAGAAGTACACAACGAATTAAAAGGTAGTCTTGATGTCTAAGAAGTTACTCAACAAGAAAAGTCTTGAAAAGAAAAAAGAAAAAATACTGTGGGCATTTAAGGCAAGTATTAGACTTAGAAAATACATATGTCTATGAATAGAGGTCATGTAGCAGAATATATTTCAGAGCAATTTTAAAACCAACAATCTCAGTACTTTCCTGGTTACCATGGCTTGTTATATAACAACTTACCTTAAAGCGAAATATTCCATACTAGATTTTAAAGATAGGAAGAGGGCAAGAGTTGAAGGAATCCATTTCTTGTGACATTAAATATGTGCCATTTCAGCTCATTCTGAATATTATAATTTAGTGAAATTAAGGCTATAACGAGAATCAAGTAACATTACTAAAGCATTAAAAAGTTTTCTGAAACTTGTATTCTAAAATTTTCCTTTTTAATATCACACATGTGATTTTCTTCTGTTAGAGTACAGATCTGAAACCCTCACTAATGTAAGAATTCAAGCTTCGTGATAGTTGCTAAACACCCATGTGTGACGTAAGAAATCAGACATGCTTCTTGGCTCATATTTGATACTGACTAAAATAAAATGTTAGTTTTACATATATGTTCATTTGAAAAATAATGTATAAACATGAATCGATTTAATGTGCTTTCTGCTAAGATTTACATCCTGAATTTTTGTCAATTTTTTTCAGATCATAAACGTTGAATATTGTACTCCTTTTAGGCTGTTGGTTAGCAATTCAAGGACACATATCTTCATCTTCTTTTCTGACAAAGACTTTCCAAATGAGTCTGTTGTCACTGTGTTGATCCTCCTCAATAAATCATTCTGCAAGCAAACCATTTACTGTGTGTGATGTGTTTGATATTCTGGTACAGAATTCTTAAGGTTCATACAAGAAAAACTAAAGTCTTGCTTACAAAACAGAAACAGCATTAATCTGCAAAGATCCATAATTTCCTTTTTTTAAACTGAAGAAATTAAAACATGCCAAAACACTGAGTAAATAGCAAATATCATATATGAAAGAGGAAGTTTAAATAGACTCTGGACTAGTACTGTGTTTAAACCCAGAAACACATTATTATACAAACATTTAATATGAGACAAAGAATACTTCTGATCATGGATATCATGGCTCATCTCTCAAACAATCAAGTACTTGGGGAAAAAATAAATTGGAATACTGTTTAAACTATATTTTAAAACTTAGAAAAATGCATTTCCCCAAATAAGGATAATGAATTCATCTAAGCATATAACAGAAAACAAAACATAAGATTAACATACACAACACAATGAATAGTCAAAATTATATACAAAACATAACTAATATATAATCCAAAAACAAGATAACTGGAAGAAAATTGCATTATATTTGGCAATGAAAAGACCCTTGTTACATAACTACTTCCCAAAGAGAAATGCCCAGAAAATCTCACCAACATGACTACCAAAGCATGAGCTGAACAAGAACAACAGTAAGACATACCAAAGTGGACAGGAAAAGCCCTCCCGCCACATGGCTTCAACCCTACACAAAGAGCTTCAGGCAACTAAGAAATTCTGGGAGTAGGAGAAATAATCTTCCCCATGGAAGAGCACACCAATTTGTTGTCCAATACCAAATGATCATCCCTGTCAACATACATACAAGTAACATTATACAGACTGAGCAGATTGTATTTCGGAATATATATGTATGTACATATACATGTAGGCATCTAACAATAATTAATGGAAAAAAGAGGCCACTAATTTGAAAGAAAGGAAAAGTACATGGGAGGCCTTCTGCCTCTCGTTTCTCATACCCAGTAAATTTGAAGTTGTTGTCATAATAAATATCTTTACATTTTAAAGAGCATAGGAATCAATCTTCCCCCATTCCTATAACCTTTTCTTCATCCCAAGATCAAGTAAATTTTTTTATATTTTTATAGTGTCATTTTATAATGTAATTTTTATAACGTAATTTGGCTATATCACATATATTTCTATACTCAAGTAATCTCTCTAGAGAAACAACACACTAGGATACAGAGAGACAGACACACAGAGGCAGAGACAGACAGACAGAGAGACAGAGGAAGAGACACTGGCTGGAAATCCATGTAAGAGATGTTGCTGCAGAATGGAGTCTGAATTCCACATGGTCTGCCAACAGGTAAGAAACTCCGACAGAGTTCTGTGTTACTGTCATCTAGAAACTATTTTCATCCTTAGACACACCTACATTATGGAGCTCATCCTAGTTGAACTTGGTGTAAATGATAATCACATCTTTTTAAAAAGTCTTCATAGTAAATAACTGATAGGCTAGTATTTAGCAAAACAACACACCACTTGACACATAAAATTAACCCCACGCTATATATAGATATAGTTAAAATGTCACATATACCTACTAGTTAATATACCCTGAGCTAGCTTCACTGGAATTAACGCACTAACTACCTGATAATGACAGAGTGTCTGCAGTTTATTCACTGCAAAAATTAAAAGTTCTCTTAACAGAAGTTAAACATTACTGTCAACAAGCCTCAGGTTTTCTGAAGCGCACACATAATGAAATTCACTGAAAAACAATAAAAAGACAAATGTCAACTTTTGAAGACTGTACCACTCCCCTGTGTTGTAGGAACTAGTTTGGATTAGCCCAGAAGCAAATGGTAAAATAATTGTAATAATATCTTGCTTAGCAATATAGAAAGAGACGAAGGAGAAAAGGAATCTTGCATAAGGCAAGCATCTCCTGTCTCTTCTCTGAAGCCTCCAGACTGCAGAGGCTGAGGGAGCAGACACAAACTGGACAGGCAGGAAACAGAGCTACTTGGTACGTGGTTGTGGCCATTGTTTCAAATTTCACAGGCTTTGCAATCAGCCTCCTTTTAGACTTTGGTTATATCTAGTTTATAAATAGTAAAAACGCTGTAAAATCCCAAGCCTTGCTTTTCATAGAGTTTTAAGGTCAGCAATTTTATAATTAAAAAATGGAGAGGCATGCTTCAAGAAGTTGTCACCTGTGAATTGTATTCACTTTTGTTAAACAACAATAATTTTGGTAATGATGAACACTGCTTGCTGTCTGGAATGCCAGGAAGCTTTAATATGGGCTTCTAAGACATTAACTAACATTTTGTGTTTATACAAGAAATGATTGGGTCTGCTTCCTTCTTACCAGTGAGTTGTTTCCATTCTATTTACTTCATTTATTACAAAGAAAAAGGTAAAGAAATAGCAAAGTATGCCTCGTATTTTTACTATTACAACTGCTTCACACAATACAGAATCATTCATTAATTGAATTTTTTGTTATTTTTAGAGCATTCAAATATGATTTTTCTACAAAATAAATTAATCACTTCATTTTGAAAGTTATAAAAATTACCCTCTGATAGTTTGGGTAACATAACCAGGATGTGACAACTCAGCCAATTTTTGTGACTGGTAGGTCAAGCGGCCTTCCCTCAGAATCACAAAGACACACCCCATAGAAAAAGTCACCGTCAAAAGTTCATAGTTCTTCGTTAGTTAAGTTGTTTTAATGTAAAGATTAGAAGTTGTCTTTGTCATTCTTCACTTTTAGGAAAAGCATTAACTGAGTAAAGCCTAGCAAAAACAAAAAAGGTTGATCCATAAGTGAAGCATCTTTTGTGATTGCAAAATTATGAAGATATGTATAAATAGATATAGATAGATAGATAGATAGATAGATAGATAGATAGATAGATAGATAGATAGATAGATAGATATAAAAACAAGCTTCAAATAACTGGAGTTGGAAAGTTGTGGAGTTTTCTCATTTGGCTTGGTTAAGAGAATCTCATCATAATGATCACAAAAGATAATTAAAACTTTCAAAAGTTTGTTTCTTGTAAATAACAAATGTAAGACTGATGGCAAAATTAACACACACCTTTCATACGTCTAACTTTACAGATATTTTTCAGATACAAATTGATAGAGTTTTCTGTTTAAGTATGTAAAAATCAAAAATTGGAGGCAGAAGGAGACTAGAGTAGAATTTACATGGGGATTTTTATGTTCAATTTATTAAATCTACCAAGGATTACAAAAAATTTACAACAGAAAATCCATACGTCAATCATTCCTCAAAATACCTTTGTTTTCATATCTGTTTATACTTTACATTCATGTATTTAGAAAACTCAAATACAGTGTGTTAGACATTTAATACTGCATTTTTCAAACTTCTAAAAAGTCCACATAACTATCAGTGCTTCCATTTTTTCATGGAGAGCAGCACTGGAATGGATGTCATTGGGGTTTTACCAACTGCCTAATGTATTAACACTAAGAATTTGTAAGTTACAGCTATGAGTGGCATTAAATGTTTCTTTTGTATCCTGTCATCAGCTTGCAAAACTTCCTCAGTTAAAACAAAGTTTGAGTGACAGGATGCTGGCATTAGCACATTTCCTCACATACCCTGCTTGCTTAAGTAACATCTTTTAAAATAACACTCTAGTAACCACAAAATCATAGCTCCAAAGATTAACTCAATGTGTGAATTTGAGACAATAAAACAATGACTTTTCTCTGTGTTTTTCATACCTCATGTCATTTTTTTAATACACAATTCTTGAATCTTGTTCATTTCTTTTAGCCTTGATATTTTACTTACAACTTGATAAATTCATCTTACATCATAAACGTATATAGGCCATAGGTATACCAATTAGGCATAAATTATTTTCTTTGGTTAATATTATGCAGTGAATAAATTTGTATTTGTCTCAGTATCACCAATGACAGTCTTTCTGTCTTGTCCTAGGGGAATCTCCAACAAGATGAGGACTCTGATTCTACCTGTTGTCATCTTGACCATAAATACTTGCTTATCAATAAGTGTAGAATACATGTTCTTCCTCTCCTCATCACAAAGTACACATGCAGCTTGTTTGATTGATCAAGAGCTGTTTAATTTCTGCCTAATGGCTTCATTTCAGCTTCTCTGTGGGTTTTCTGTCAATCTGCGAATGTGAATGCCATGTTTCACCCTCTGTCCTAGATATTAGTAATCTTTTGACTGCTAAAGTTGTGTAAACATAACACTACAGTCTTTTAAGTTTTAGATTTTAAATAGGGTATGCAGACAGATTCTACTTCTGCAGTAGCACACCTACATAAAAGTTAGTCCCAGTGGATTCTTCAAAAGAAGAAATGCGTGAGGCAGAAAATGATTAAAGGGAGCCGTGTAAGAGACCAGAAAGGTGAGCCATCCATGGAGGCTCCACCTCACAAGCACGAGGTCCCAAGGTTAGAGACATAGAACCCATGTAAAAAGCCAGGAACAACAACACACTCCTGTAATCCCAGGGTCATAAGATGAAAAGCAGAGATGTAAGAATTCCTGGAGCTTCACTGCCAGCTGACTCAGCCTACATGATAAATCTTTAGGTCAATGAGAGACCTTGTCTCAAAACAAAAGGTGGAAGACAGCTGACAGCCAGCCCACGTGGGACATTGCCCTCTGATACTTGTGAACACTGCACACACATGTAACCACACCCCTGGATTACCCACGTGCATGAGCACACATACACACACACAAAATAAACTAGCTAGTTAATTAAATTTTTAAAATAAGCACTATATAATAAGCTTGTAAGCTATGAAAGCTTTTCATGTGGGTCACCTAAGTAAAGAAAATCTAGGTGTGATAAGAACTTCCAAACATGGAGATGTCCTTGGTGCTCTATATTTTTAGATTCATTCACCTAAACACCCTTACCTAACCAAGTTATAATATCTTAAAGATGAAAGATACTCTTCTAGCTC